GATTTACTGGTTTTGTGGATAATAGTTAATATTATATTTGAACAAGTGGTGCAATCGCTTTGACACCACTTTTTACGATCGTGCTATACTCGCACTTCATATTAGACACTCATGTCTATAACCTTATTTATGTTGTAATTATTCCTAAAAGGAATAATTGACTTATATCAATGTCAACATAAAAAAAATTCTATATATTACTATAATCAATAACATATAAATTTGTACTTAGTATTTTATTATTACTGGCAGCATACAATATCTTCCTTCGCCTCTCTGGATTTATTTAGTCTCTTTCACATCTCTCTTTCTCAATTTCTTTCACTGAACTTCTGTCTTTTATACTCATTTCTCATATCAATGCCAAATAAGTCCCTTTCTTTCTGACCAAGCACACCTGTTTCCCCTATGTTGGATTATAACATTTCATAATCATAGGGGGCTTGCAATCTCAAAACAGTCTAAACGAGAAAAGCGTCTACTCACTTCAATAATTTTCTAATGATTAATGGAGTTATAATCCCCTAATTCCTTAGAGACTGGCGAAGAACCGGTCGCTTTCTCACCTCTTTCAACTCCAATCAATATTCCTTACACCTAACTTTCGAACAAGAATATAATTCCTATACACGAATTTTGTGTTAAGTACATTCATTTTTTTATATTATAATATAAAATTAATTTTGAGTAGATAAACGTCATTCTGTATTCATTTATAACGTCAAGCATATATATTTAGATTAGATTTAACTTGACTCAGAAGCAAGTTGGTTTTCTGAACACAGAAATTATGAAACCGTTAAGGTTAGAAACAATGATCACTTCTGGCAAAGTACTAAATTTAGTTTCAGTAACTATAGTAGGAAATTAATTGATATTTATTTTCCTTCTTTCCTTAATGATGCCCCCAGTGGCACAGCGACATGTCTGCGGACTTATAACGCTAGAAACCGGGTTTCGATACCCGTGGTGGGCAGAGCACAGATAGCCCTTTGTGTAGCTTTGTGCATAATTACAAACAAACAATCCTTAATGATATCAGGTAATTGCGTGTGTGACCGAAAATGTTGTAAATAACTCACATGTATGTTGCATATGTAATGTCCCATAGACATAGGCTTGGTATGTTGTACAACAAACGTTCGGGTCGTGGCCTAATTGGCTGCAACATACAACATTCATTGTTAGCCGAACTTGTTATTTACCAGAGAGGCGGAATTATCTTGGAGTTTTCAATCCTGACTTTTGCTATGAAATTTTATGATTATGACTAGTAATAGTTTGAATTGCAGCTGAGATCTAGGTAAAATCAATTTAAAGTCAGCATGTCCTGGGGGAATCAACTACCATTTCAGGATTAGCTGTTGTCTATAAGACAATTTTATTTTATCCATTACTGTGTATATATATTTCTGACTTTATGTTACTTGGTTTACCATTGAATGATCAGTTGAAATATAGTCAGTGTTCCACATTTCCATATAAATGTTGCTGGCCGTTTTCTGTTTTGTTTGATTTTACTCTTCCTCATTACTAAACAAGCCCCCCCCCCCCCAGTGGCACAGCGGTATGTCTACGGATTTACAACGCTAGAATCCGGGTTTCGATACCCGTGGTGGGCAGAGCACAGATAGCCCATTGTGTAGCTTTGTACTTAATTACAAACAAACAAACAGACTAAACAAAATTCACTTTAACTTTGTATTAAGCTCAGTAATTCAGTATTTTATTTTTGTTTGTCTTTAGGTTAAATTCTCTATAAGTCATTTCGATTCTGTATTATGCTTTCTATTGTATTGAATTATTTATCAAACGATACAGTTTTTCTGCTTTGTTTAATGCAGTCAATTTCAAATTAAATTTTTTATAATACCCAGCTTTAAAGTCGGTTTTGTTATGGTTAGTTTAATTACTATGCTCAGTTATGTACCAAATAACGTTGTACAAAATTTAAATTTACCTTATTATCATATTTCGAGTTTGTCCCGAGTTCTACTTTTCATTATTTTTAGTTTATTCTGATTTTTTTGTCTTATTCTGTTGTAATTATTTCTTTTACATTTTAAATACTCTATCCTATTCTCCGATTAATTTCGTTTATTTTAAGCTTACTTAGTTAATCGATTTGATCGCTTAAACGTAATTATGAAGTTTTGAGCATAGATAGGACCTGGAATAAGGAAAGTCTGAGTGTAGCAGTTAAAAACTGCCATATTTAACCATACTATAGTTAGAAAATAATGTATATTTTATTCAGTTATATTCGAGTAAACTTTCATTGAGGTGTTTTACAGTTAAAGTTCTTTTGAACAAGATGTAAATGGGGACAAAACTTGTCTTAAACTTACCACACTTCTGTGTTTTATGGGTTATACTCAAGCGAGGGTAAAGAGCTTTCTACGAGTTAGAAAAGCCGTGAGTTGCCTGCCATTGAATATGTACGATAAAAAGTAATTGACATGGTAATCTAAAATAGTGGGATAACAGATTAGAGCTATATTCTTACTTGAAAGTGGGGTATAGACACATTTCTTTCAGTATTTGTGGTGTGAAAATGTATCTTTTTTTTTCTCTCTCTTAGCTCTAGCAGCCAGAGGTTTAATATTGAATCTCAAAATCTGCCAGTGTTTCGGTAAAGACTCAGTACGTTTTGTCATTGCGTAATAAATATTTTGTTTACTTTCTTTATACAAATGTATTACTTTTTTATTTGCTGACCATGTTAATGTTATATTCTCGCAAAGATATATTTTTGTTTTTCGTTCTTCTGTTTTAGCTATATTTATTTCTTGGTTCCAATTCTATTTTTGAATACTACATTTCTTGGAAAACTAAAGAAATAAATTAATGTTAAGATAATCGTCTTTGTTCAAGCAGTGAAATGATGTTAATGTCTCTTTCTTGAATGTTAAAACAACAGAATAATACCTATACCTCATTTTTGGGAAGATGTGAATTAATTGGATCAATGCTTCAGAGCACCTTCCTGGATTAATAAAACTGTTAAGTAATATCGAGGTTTTACTTTTCTGGCAGACTGGAATGAATATGGATTAATGTTATAATTAATTTTTCAATAAAATAATGTTGAATTTTATTTACCGAAAAATTTTATACTCTGAAATGAATCAATTAAGATATGTATTTCAAATAGATGTAAGTACGGTGATATATATAAATTAATTACTGAGAGTATTTTGAAAGTCAATGTACAACGGCAATTCGATTCTTGAATAACTGAATATTTCTATAGGTTAATTAGTCTTGTAGCATTTTCAGAATTTATTCTATTTCGAATGATAACAAAGATTAGAGAATACCAGGATTTTTTCAGGATTTGTTTCAACAGATCCCTACACGTCTGGAATGATTTATTCCATTTAAAGAAACCACGATGACGTCCTGAATAGATTTGTAACTGAATAAATATATCACAGACCTTTCCAAGAAAGGATATTCATCATGTGATTTTGTTAATCGGTATCTAAGGAACAACGTTTTGAAAAAGGAAGGGTTCAGTATTTTCAGTGAAAGTGAAAAAACCCGTACAGGAATGCATTTAGGACAGAAATAGGTCTTGAAACAACGCCTTAATCCACTTCAATATGTATCCAACGTTTACCAAAGAGAATCGACCAAAAATAAGGCTCTTAAGATAAAGCTAGGCCTGTTTCAGTTACTGATAATGAAATGATAAACAAGGATTTGAATTTGATAAAGGCTCACAAGTCAAACATTCACAAACCTTCAACCATCTTCGAAGCAAATGACTGTTTTCGTGAAAAACAAACTTGAATCACAGCAATCCCATTCAGGTTTTTATTTTTCAGCTCCCCTGATGCAACTACATTGTAATCTGTGCCTTTAGTCTGCTTCGAAGCCGATGTTCACGTCAAGTGGATGGTCTATGAGAAGTCTATTTAGATGAGTGTCTAAAGTTAACATCGCCATCCTTCGCAGAAGTTTGTTCCAATGTGAACTGCAGTTCGTA